GGATTTTATTTAAAACGAAGAAAATTGACGAAAGAAAGCGATGAGAAAATTTTAACGGTTAATCCGGCGGACGACGTCTTGGACGCGACGACATTTTACGTTTTTCATCTCTCCTCCTCCCTCGATTGTTTTTCTCATCCCTTCCGTAAGAGGGTTGAAAGCGAAGCAAGCAAGCGTCGTGAGCGTACGAAATAAATACGAGCCGCCCTTTTTTTGTTTTTTTTGCATTTTCCCCGTTTGTGGAAAATTTTCCAAAAACAAAAAAAGGGCGGCTCGTATTTATCTCGTACGCTCACGACGCTTGCTTGCTTCGCTTTCAACCCTCTTACGGAAGGGATGAGAAAAACAATCGAGGGAGGAGGAGAGATGAAAAACGTAAAATGTCGTCGCGTCCAAGACGTCGTCCGCCGGATTAACCGTTAAAATTTTCTCATCGCTTTCTTTCATCAATTTTCTTCGTTTTAAATAAAATCCACGATTATAGTTTTATTAATTTAAATAATTAATTAAATTTTGTTATTTTTTTTTTTTTTTTTTTTTTTTTACTATCTCGTTTGTTGTCGTTTTCCGGGGAAATTTTTCCGCTTACGCGTACGTATACGCGATTCGAGTGAATTTTTTATTATTTTTACGTAAACGCGTACGAACGATTTCCGGTTTATTAAAAAAAAAAAAAAAAAAAGGGAACGCGACGCGAACAACGTTTTCCTCCGAATTTATTATTAAATTTTGAATGTTTTTCCCGATTTTTATCACCGTTTACATGTTGGATATAATTTGTAAGTTTAACTTATTTACTTAATAATAATAATAATAATAATAATAATAATAATAATAATAATAATAAGTTGATGATTAAAATTATTAATAATAATAATAAATAAATATTTTGTGACTTACATCGCGCGTCCCGACATTTTCCTTTTTTTTTTTTTTCCTGTTTTTCCATTCGTCATCCTCGTTTTTCCTCATCTGAAAAACAAAGAAAGAAAATTAATTTACACAAAATGTTTATTATTATGTACACATAAGGTAGAATAAATAGAATATTCATAGAGAGAGAATATTTATCGATGCGAAACCGATGATTTAATCGGGGGGGGGAACGGGGTTAAAGGTCATATGATGTCACACCGTCCGTCCGTCGGTAGGTTTTATCCGTTCGCTTTTTAATTACTTCCGACAATTTTTAAGGGTTTTTTCCAAAAAAAAAAATATATATTTGAGGGACCGTCGGGTGCTAAGCAAACTCTCAGTAGATTTTTATCACGGGGGGAAAGGGGAGGGGAGAACGATCACGAGAAAAAAAAGGGAAAATATCAATTTGCTAAAAGAATATCCGGAAGAGGGTTGAAGGAAAAAAAATATATATATATATATATATATATATATATAGGAAAAAAAAAGCTTTCAAAAGTACCACATATGATGTTTAAAATGCGATTCGTTTTCCCACCCGTCGGAAAAAAAAAAAAACAGAAAAAAGTAGAGTCCCCCTTACTCCCTCTTTCTCCCCATCACCATCTCCCTCCTTACCTCCCCACCTCCTCCTCCTCCTCCCCCCACATTCACATACGTGACGGATTTCCCGCACATTTGTCTTCTTAATGGTCCCCGTGTCAAGCACTTGCTCTTCGGATATTTTAAGGGTTCATTTTTTTTTTTTTTTTTTTTTTTTTTTTTTAAACCTTCTCCCGGTGGTGGTAATGGTAAGCGGTGGCGGTGGCGGTGGTGGTGGGAGCGGAGGTAGCGGTGTCGGGAAAAAAAAAGCAGAAGAAAAAAAAAAAGTTTTTCATTTCTCAAGTGAGAAAAAGTTTTTTTTTTTTTTTTTAAAAAAAAAAAAAGGGTTGCACAATAAACGAGAAGGTTCTGGAAAAACGAGCGGGAAAAGAGGGCGGGGGTAGAATATAAGGAATGAAAAAATATGAGAGAAAACGGGTACGAATTGGGGGGAGGATTAAAAAAAAAAGGGCAAAAAGGAGCGAGAAAAAAAAAAGGAAAAAAAAAAAAAAGGAGAATAATTTAGTTCCTAAAAGGGTTTAAACCAAATTAGTATTAAATTACCTTCATTTCTTAACTCATTTGCTACTTTTTTTTTTTTTTTTTTTTTTTTTTTTTTTGTTTTTCCTGTTGTCTATCCTGTTCTTGTTACCCTTTTTCCCTCCCCCCTTCCTCCCTCCCTCCATCTTTTTTACTTCCTGTTTTAATTTTTCTTTCTTTCTTGACAAGACGAAAAAAAATGAATACAAAAAATTTAATTTGTTTTTTTTTTTCTTTTTTTTCTTTCATGTTTTCTTCCCCCCCCCCTCCCCTGTGTGGGAAAAGGTTTGAAAAAACGGTGAAAATGGCCGAATTGAAAATATGCGGAATTTGCTGCGGGTCCATTTGTGACAGATACCTAATGAGAGTCGCGGATGTTTTCTATCACGAAAGATGTCTTCTGTGTTCCGTTTGCGGAATTCGTTTATCTCATACGTGTTTCACGAGAGATTCAAAATTA